GGAGTAATGACATTTGCCCAACGTTTCGCCCTGTCCTGCCCGGGAATCGAACCCAGGTCCCCTCGCTTGCGAGGTGAGTCCTCTAACCACTAAGATAGAGAAGAGCTGGTGCAAATCCAGCATCGGTCTCTGAGCTCAGAGCTGTGCCCAGGACTGGCAAGTGTGTAAATAATCACGTGAATAGGCGTGTAATCTGTACTCGGATATTTAACACATCAGCACAGAGCAACCAGTAAACTTGTTTGGGTTAGACCAGTGTCTGTGCTGGGGCTCGCTCCCCCACTGGAGCTCTCTAACCCCATTCCCTGCTCTCTCCCCATCGTATCTGTGCTGGGGCTCGCTCCCCCACTGGAGCTCTCTACTCTAACCCCATTCCCTGCTCTCTCCCCATCACGGGTAAGACAGAGAGGAAGAGTTAGAGAGAGAGAGACGGTAAGAGAGGGGGAGACAGAGTATAGTACAGAATCCTTGTCAGAGAGAGAGTTGGTCTGTAATACAGAGTGTGTGGGAGAGCGAGAGAGAATTGTTTAGAGTGTGTGTGCATTCTCTCTGAACCCACAAGCCATTGCTGGAGTCAGAGAGCGTACAGGTGATTCCTGGGCTGTTTCATAGGTATATTAGTTATATAGGAGGGTTTCTGAAAATAAATCTCTCTTTGTGCTACTGGTAACCTCCAGCTAAAGAGAAGTAAAAAGCAGGCAGTCCGCGAGCTAACCTGCTGTGTGCGGGCTGCCCCTCCACTGTCTATGGTAACCTGTAACTGGGACAGTCCACAGCCAGGGAGGCAGTGAGACAGAGAGAGAGTGGGAGAGAGAGTGACAGAGACAGAGAGAGGCAGCGAGAGAGACAGAGACAGAGACAGGCAGCGAGAGAGACAGAGACAGAGAGAGGCAGCGAGAGAGACAGAGAGAGAGAGAGGCAGCGAGAGAGACAGAGAGAGAGAGAGGCAGCGAGAGAGACAGAGACAGAGAGAGACAGCGAGAGAGACAGAGACAGAGACAGGCAGCGAGAGAGACAGAGAGAGGCAGCGAGAGAGACAGAGACAGAGAGAGGCAGCGAGAGAGACAGAGAGAGACAGAGAGAGGCAGAGAGAGAGACAGAGACAGAGAGAGACAGCGAGAGAGACAGAGACAGAGACAGGCAGCGAGAGAGACAGAGAGAGGCAGCGAGAGAGACAGAGACAGAGAGAGGCAGCGAGAGAGACAGAGAGAGGCAGCGAGAGAGACAGAGACAGAGAGAGGCAGCGAGAGAGACAGAGAGAGACAGAGAGAGGCAGAGAGAGAGACAGAGACAGAGAGAAGCAGCGAGAGAGACAGAGAGAGAGTGGGAGAGAGAGTGACAGAGACAGAGAGGGGCAGTGAGAGAGACAGAGAGAGAGAGAGGCAGCGAGAGAGACAGAGAGAGAGAGGCAGCGAGAGAGAGAGACAGAGACAGAGAGAGGCAGCGAGAGAGACAGAGACAGAGAGAGGCAGCGAGAGAGACAGAGACAGAGAGAGGCAGAGAGAGAGACAGAGAGAGGCAGCGAGAGAGACAGAGAGAGGCAGAGAGAGAGTGGGAGAGAGAGTGACAGAGACAGAGAGGGGCAGTGAGAGAGACAGAGACAGAGAGAGGCAGAGAGAGAGACAGAGAGAGGCAGAGAGAGAGACAGAGACAGAGACAGAGAGAAGAGGAAAACACATGTTCAAGTATAAAGGAGAAAAAGTCACAAAAACATCAGCGAGAGAGTGAGTGAGTGAGAGGGGGAATGAAAGGCAGTGAAAGAGAGAAAGTGGGGGGACAGAGGCACAGAAGGGAGATGGAATGTAAATAGAAAGTATGTGTGTGAGAGAGAGGGAAAGTAATAGTGTGTAGAAGAGAGAGAGACACTGAAGACTGAAATCCATCAGCTGTTACCGTGGAAACCATATTAAGTAAATCAATGCTGGTGGTTTCGGGGGGGGGGGGGGGGGGGGTCTGTCTGTGGCTGTGAGTGTGGTTCTGTTACCGCCTCCCCCCAGTTCACTGCTCACCTCGCACGCCCCCCCCCACCCCTTCACCCCTCCCCATGGCTCAGAGTTTATCACCACATAATCACCTCAGAGAATACAGAAAGAAATCAGAGAAAAGTTTTGGGACGGACGGCAGTCTGCACCGGTTCTCTCTCTCGCTATCTCTCTTGTTCCCTATCTCTCTCATTCTCTCCCATTCTATTGCTGTCTCATTCTCTCTCTCTCTCTCTCTCTCGTTCTATCGCTCTGCGCACGCAGAGAATGTTTTTTTGGCAAATGTTAGTAATAGTGAGTGAGAAGCTGAAGAGGTGAAGATCGAGATAGAAATATAGAGTGAGAGACAGTGAGAGAATTATATAAAGACAGAGAGAAAGAGAGAAAGGGACTGAGAAATTGAGCAAGAGACAGACTGAATGATAGAGAGAGTATGTAGAGACACAGCGAGAACAAAACATATATATAGAGAGAGACAAAGTGAGAGATATAGAGCGAGAAACTAAGAGATCTCACAAGAGGCAAACAGAAAGAGACTGAACAAGAAAGAGAGAGAGGTACAGAGACGGGGAGAGAGACATACACAGACGGAGAGACAGAGAGAGATACGGACAGAGCGAAAGACAGAGAGAGAGAAGAAGAGTGAGAGAGAGGGAGTGTGGGAGAGAGGGTGGGAGGGAGTGTGGGATGTGTTAGCCTCTCACTATGGAGGTGGAGGGGTTGGAGGTGATTGCGGTGCTGGTGGTTCTCCTCCTCTTTGTGAAGGTCCTGGAGCAGTTTGGGATGTTCGAGCCCATCGTGTTGGAAGGTACTGTAACAGCAGCCCCTGCTCCTTCACCCCCCATCCCCTCCCGCAACCCCCCCACCCTCCCTCACCTCCTGTCCTCTCCTACAGCCCACCCCCCCACCCCATTCTCCCCCTTCCCTCTATCCTCTCTAGCAATCACACCCCCCCAACCCTGTCCTCTCCGCCTCTCCCTCTCCCCCTCCCATCTCTGTCTCAATACCTTTCAGCCCAAACTGACAATCAGCGGCTGCAGAGCAAGTGAGAAGCTCTCACACACTCTCCTCGTGTCCCTGTCAATCCTTAGTTCTGGGTCAAACACTGAGCGGCTAATTTATTGGTGATTCTTACTGTCTTGTGTCCATAGAGCGTCTCTACCGCTTCTCCCCCCCCCCCTCTCTCTCTCCATCTCCCTCTCTCTCTCCATCTCCTTCTCTCTCACCATCTCCGTCTCCCTCTCTCACCGTCTCCATTTCTCTCTCTCACCATCTCTGTCTTTCTCTCTCACCATCTCTGTCTCTCTCTCTCTCTCTCACACCATCTCCGTCTCTGTCTCTCTCTCTCACCATCTCTGTCTCTCTCTCTCTCTCTCCATCTCCGTCTCTCTCTCTCCATCTCCGTCTCTCTCTCTCACCATCTCTGTCTGTCTCTCTCTCTCTCTCTCACCATCTCCGTCTCTCTCTCTCGTTCCCTCTGTCCTTCTTTCCCCATCTCAGCTAGTGAGAACAGTTTGCTAGCAGCCAACCCCCACCTCTGACACACTCACTAACCCTCGCTCACCCCCAGCTCGGGTGTAAACCCTTCACTGTCCAGTGCCTTGGGACGACCGCGCGATGTGAAAGGCGCTGTGTAAATGTCTGTTGTTGTAAAATCCTCTGGGATGTTGTGTCTCACCTCACCCTGAACAGCAGGAGTGTAATGACTGGTAGTGACTGTGTATTTGTAAGCAAACACTAATTATAATTTATAAACTAATCATTGCATTTGATATAGCGCCTCATCTCGACGTCAAGATATCTCAAAGCGCTTATATACTGTAAAGTGACTGTATTTTGTGGGCAAAACACAGCAGCCAATTGCGCACAGCCGGGCCCCACAAACAGCCATGGAGCGAAGGTCCAGTTTTATTTGGAAGATTGTCGGCCAGGACACCTGGAGAGAGAGAGAGAGAGAGAAACTCCCGTCTCTTTTCAGATAGTGCTCTGGGATCTTTAACATCCACCTGAACGGGCAGTCAGGGCCTCAGTTTAACATCTCATCCAAAGGACGGCACCTCTGACAATGCAGCCGCCCCTCCACCCCCAGCACTGCACTGGAGCATCAGCTTAGACTGTGCCTCAGTGTTGGCTCCTGCGTGCACAGTGTATGTGTGTGTGTATTTCTGTCTGTGTGTGTAACCCTCACTGGGGTGTGTGTGTGTGTGTAACCCTCACTGGGGTGTGTGTGTGTAACCCTCACTGGGGTGTGTGTGTGTGTGTAACCCTCACTGGGGAGCTGAGGGTGATTGGTATCTGTGTGTAAGACGAGATGTCAGTGTAGCTGATGTCAGATGACGTGGCTGATGGAGTGAATGACTTTATGACTGGAATCTCCTGGTTGAGATCCCAACAGGAAGAACAAGCTGTGGGAAGTGGCCGGGCAGCTCGGTGGGGGGCGGTGTGGGGGTGGGCAGGACCTGGTGGAGATCTCTAAATTGGACTGAATGTGCGAGACGTGGCAGCCAATTGCGCGCACAACAAACATTTGTGGATTAAGTGACCTAATTTTTTTAAGGGATTATTACCTCTGGAAAAGCAATCCGCCAAACGACTAACAACCGGGTTCTTACTCACTGCTGGTAAACAGAGGCGTGTGGAGTGAGGAAACCTACCCAACGTGTCGCACTGCCCGGGAATCAAACCCGGGTCCTCTCACTAACGAGGCGAGAGCTTTAATCACTGAGCTACAGGACTCCAGTGTAACACAGTCTGTGAATCTCAATGTAAACCTGAAATTTTTTTTTGAAAAGATGAAACCAGGATAGCAAACAAACCACGTTTATACCCCCTCCACCCCCTCAGAGTGTGTGACCCCCTCTCCCCCCTGTGCTGTGTGAGTGACCCCCCCCTGTGCTGTGTGAGTGAGTGACCCCCCCCCTCTCCCCCTGTGCTGTGTGAGTGAGTGACTGATGACCGTGTCTCTCTGTTGCGCTGTTTATGAAGATTTTCATGTTTGTGTGATTTTGTGGCTTTCAGGGAACACTGCACCAAACAGCAAAAAACTATTAAAGCAGCGATTGCTGAAACTCTTACCGTGCTGCCTCTCCCCAAGGCCCTCCTCGCTCACCCAAAGCAAGTCTCCATCTCCTTCTCTCCGTCTCTAACCTGGGCTGGTTTGTCAGGTTACCGTGTCACCAGGCTGTCTCCACAGCTTAACCTAACAGAGCGGCTCCACCGGGCACTGAGCCGGTCTCCGGCTAATCTTCTACACTGCGATATTCAACCACTTCACAGCACCGTGTGTGTGTGTGTACTGTAGCCGTTTGCCTGTGTGTGTATGTGGATGTCACACAAATCCGCCGATGTTCTATCAGCTCGTCTGGCGGACATCAAGGCCTGGTTGAGTGTAAACTTCCTGCAGCTGAATATGGACAGGATGGAAGCCATACTCCTCGGCTCCCGTCAATGTCTTCACTCCTACGGATCTAAACTCCTCAACCTCCCTGGGCTCTCCCTCTGACTGATATCCCCTACATCCAGTCCCTGACCAGAACCGCCTTCCTCCACCTCCGCCACATTGCCATCCTCCGACCCTACCTTACCTTAAATGCAGCCAAGACCCTCGTGCATGTGTTTGTCACCTCCCGCCTGAATTACTCCAACGCACTCCTCGCTGGTCTCCCCAGCTCCACCATTCACAAGATCAGCTCATTCAGACTCTGCCGCCGCATACTGACCAAACTCCGTCCCCATATCTCACCAGTTCTGGCCCCGGCTCCACTGTCTCCCCATCACCGAACCGATCGACATCAAGATCCTCTCACTTGTGTCCAATCCCTTCACTCTCTGGCACCTCCCTCCCTCTCCAACCCCCTCACTCCCCAATTCCCCACCCGGTGCCTCCGCTCGACTGGCACCGGCTCCTGTCGTCCCTCACACCCTCCGCCCCACCATCGGAGGTTGCGCTTTTAGCCACTAGGCCCCAGAACTCTGGAACACTCTCCCTCAATCCCTCCGCCTTGCCCCCTCCCCTCTTTCAAGTTTCCCCAGAAAACTTCCCTCTTCGACATGTCTATGCCACCCACCCCCCCACTCGGAATCACACTGTTAACTGCTCTGAGACAGTACCCTGCGTGGAGGGTGCTTTATAAGTGCAAGTTGTTGCTGTGTGTGTGTGTGTATGTACTGTAGATGTGTGTACTGTGGACACGTGTGAATATATTTTTTATAGCTCTGCTCTGTATATGAATACTGCAGTAAGAATCTGGATTGAGCCTTGCTGCAGAGGGGATGAATATTGACTGTGAATGGGAGAGAGGGACTGGGAGAGGGATAAATAAAGAGTGACTGGGAGAGGGATAGAGAGAGAGAGTGACTGGAGAGGGTTAGAGAGAGTGACTGGAGAGGGATAGAGAGAGAGTGGCAGGAGAGGTCTACAGTGACTGTATAGAGAGAGGGAGAGAGCTTTTGGGTTGCTCGGCTCAGGTTTGAGGTCAGGTTTCTCTGACAGTCTTCAAGCCCTTGTCCCTCCCATCTTTACTTTGTCTTCAAAGCCCTCCTCGGCATTACTCCTTCCTACTTTTGTGATCTGCTATTCCCATACCAACCTGCCTGCTCCCTCCGCTCAGCAGGCTCCAGCCTGCTCCACTTCCCCAACCGCCCTCCCCTCCATCGGTGATCAGGCCTTCAACCTCCCTGCCCCCACCCTTTGGAACTCCAACCCACGGTCCATTTGCCTCGCCCTCTCCCTCCTCTCTCTTGCCTCCTTCAAGACCCATCTGAAGACATTCTTCTTCGACTGCACCTCGACTGTATAAATGTAACTTCTGGTTGTCAGTGAGGGAGCTCTGAGCCTCTCTGCCCTCACTCTCTGGTTTCTCTATTGTCATCTCCCAAGATCAAGTGGCATTTAAGAATATCAGAATTTTCCACATTTCAGCAGCAACAAAGTGAGTCTGACAGATTGGCTCCGACTTTAACTCATCATTGATTCGAGCCTCAGAGAACGAGAGAGCGAGAGACAGAGAGAGCGAGAGAGAGAGAGAGAGAGAGACAGAGAGAGAGAGAGACAGAGAGAGAAAGATGGGATCAAAGGATTCTAGTGGGAATAGTTTACAACTAATGGGAATTTAAAAGGAAGATGGGATCAAATCCAGACTGTTGCGCTGACTGATACTCGTGAGTTATTGTAATGTTAAAGCTCATCCATTAGCTCCACAATATTCACAGCTTCACTCTGTCTGTCACTGACCTGGGAATGTGGACGGACAGTGTAGAGGGAGCTTTACTGTGTCTCTAACCTGTGCTGTTGCTGACCTGTGAGTCCCAGGTGCTGAGAGACGGTGACCCGAGGTGTTACAGGCGTTGATGGAGTTCTTTCTGTCACTTGTTGGTTTAATGTTTCCGTGTTGACGAGCCAATGAGTGTGCGTGTGGGTCCGTGTGGCGGTGGCTCACCTTTCCCCACGTGTGTGTGTGTTTCCAGACAGCATCGAGGATGACTTTGAGCTCTCCACCGTGTGTCACCGCCCGGAGGGGCTGGAGCAGCTCCAGGGACAGACACAGTTCAGCAAGAAGGAGTTACAGGTCCTGTACCGTGGCTTCAAAACTGTGAGTCATGCCCTCCCACCACCCACCCCACCCCTCGCTTGTTTCTTGCTCACCGGCTGTCTGACACACACAGAAAACCATCACCGTGATCACCAGACTGAGAGGTCCATGTATGCCATTTACAAACATAAATGAAATGTGTATGGAATGGAATGCACACTCTCGCTCTCTCTCTCCCTGGAGGGACACTTCCTGCTTACCTAATTCTGGAAAGTATCAGGCGCAGGTTGGCAAGAGCCAAGACTTGGGGACCCCAGAGTGTGTGTTGGGGTAACTGCTGGAGTCTAACCAGCTAAAACCATATAACTTGCCTTGATGTTTCTGTCAGGCCAGATTGCCAGCTAGGACCACCCTACCCATTAGGCCTTTGGCTTGCATGGAGCTAAGCAGCAGGCAAGTTGACCAGAGAGAGTAAAGCCTGATTTGATGTGCTCCTTATCAAGCATAACAGACAGTTACTGTTGGTGTGTGTGTGTGGATATCCCCCTAACCTGCCATCTCTCCCTCTCTCAGGAGTGCCCCAGCGGAGTGGTCAATGAGGAGACCTTCAAACAGATCTACTCCCAGTTCTTCCCTCAAGGAGGTGAGCGTCAGGCCTGAACTTCACTACTGACACCCTAGGCTCCTCGCCAGCAATCCACAAGCCCCAGAGATGTTAAAGGAGCTTTACTGTGTCTCTAACCCTGACCTGGGAGTGTGGACGGACAGTGTAGAGGGAGCTTTACTGTGTCTCTAACTCTGACCCAGGAGTGTGGACGGACAGTGTAGAGGGAGCTTTACTGTGTCTCTAACTCTGACCCAGGAGTGTGGACGGACAGCTGTGGGATAATATTCGGTTTTGTTACTGTATGTGGTTACTGTGTGAGACACTGTGTGATATGTGTTACAGACTCCAGCATGTACGCACACTTTCTATTCAACGCTTTTGACACAGATCTGAATGGCTCGGTCAGCTTTGAGGTAAGACATTAACATTATCATAGATAGGAAGAGAGCTCCAGTGGGGGAGCGAGCCCCAGCACAGACACGATGGGGAGAGAGAAGGGAATGGCGTTAGAGTAGAGAGCTCCAGTGGGGTTCTGTGGTTGAGTTGGGGTCTCGCTGTGCTGACTGACTGATGGTTTCCTGTGTTTCTCAGAACTTCGTGATGGGATTGTCTGTCATCCTCCGGGGGACGGTGGATGATAAACTCAACTGGGCTTTCAACCTGTACGACTTAAACAAGGATGGTTCCATCACCAGAGAGGGGAGTCTTGTGTCAATAAAGGGCCGCGGGGGAAGAGGCCACGCGCGGTGTGAGGGTATCTGTGGGGGAGGGGCTGCTGAGGAGGGGCCACAAGGGAGGGAGTGGCGTTGGACTCCAAAAGCCGCTGAAACCCTGGTCCATGCCTTTGTCACCTCTCGGCTGGTCCTCGCCGGCCTCCCCTCCACGACCATCCATAAAATCTGCCGCCCTCATTCTCACCCGCACCAAACTCCACTCCCCGATCACCCCAGTCCTCGCCAGACTGCATTGGCTGCCTTCAAGATCCTCACCCTTGTCTTCAAATCCTGCCACTCCTCTGCCCCCCCGACCTCTCTGACCTCCTCTCTCCTCACAACAGTGCCCGTTGCCTTCGTTCCACCGGGTCTGGCCTCCTCCTTGTCCCCCGAGTCCTCCTCTCCACCCTCGGCAGCCGTGCCTTCAGCTACTATGCCCCGAGGCTCTGGAACTCCCTTCCTCACTCCCTTCCCCTCACTCCCTATTTTCAGATCTCTGCTGAAGACCTTTCTTTTCGACTGCAGCTTTGGTCCCCTTCCTCCCCCTCCCCCTGGCCCCCTCCCCCTGGCCCCCTCCCCCTCCCCCTGGCTCGGCCCCGGGATCTGTCACTGTGAAGCTCTGAGACGCTGCCCAGCGTTGGGGGGCACTATATACATCCAAGTTGTTGTTGTTGTTGGGGACCAATCGTAGAGATTTTTCTTATTTGACCGTTTGATTGACAGGAGATGTTGGATATAATGAAATCCATTTATGACATGATGGGGAAGTACACCTTCCCATCAGTGAGGGACGAGAGCCCGCGAGAGCACGTGGAGACCTTCTTCCAGGTAACAGCCCCAGAGCCAGGAGGCACTCTCTCTAACCCTGACCTGGGAATGTGAACCCACAGTCTGGAGGGGGTGTTCCTCTGTACCTGAGCTGCTGCAGCCTTGTGTTGCCCCCTGATGGGTGGTTAGAGAACAGGTTGAGAGGATTCACAGTCTTTTGGGGCGAAAGAGTGAAGCGCCTACTTTACGGGGGGGCACGAGGAAGGGGGCGGAAAGCCAATCGTATCAGAATCTCCCGGGGGGCAGGCAGGAGGACGCAGGCTGGGGGCTGGGGCACAATTTCAGGATGGACACCGGGAAGTCTTTCTGCCCCAGGGGGTAATTGCGGACTGGGGCAGGTCCTGGGGAGAGTGAGGCTGGGATGTATTTCAGAGATGGAGGGGGGGGGGGGGCAGGCGGGAGTCCCCAGGGGAGGGGTCCACACCCCCAGTCTCCCTCAGGATTTTTCACATGGTTTTTATGTTACAGAAAATGGACAAGAACCGGGATGGAGTGGTGACTATTGAGGAGTTTATAGAGACATGTCAGAAGGTGAGACCCTCTGCACCCCCCCACCACCACTGGGTGGTCTTTGAAGCCATGTGCTGGGTGGAGGGGAGGGGGTGTGGGTGGGTGGTGGGGGTGCGGGTGGGGAGGGGTGTGCGGGTTGGTGCGGGTGGGGAGGGGGTGCGGGTGGAGAGGGGGTGTGGGTGGGTGTGGGTGGGGAGGGGGTGCGGGTGGGGAGGGGGTGCGGGTGGGGGTGCGGGTGGGGAGGGGGTGCGGGTGGGGAGGAGGTGCGGGTGGGGGTGCGGGAGGGGGTGCGGGTGGGGGTGCGGGTGGGGGGTGCGGGTGGGGGTGCGGGTGGGGAGGGGGTGCGGGTGGGGGTGCGGGTGGGGTGGGGGTGCGGGTGGGGTGGGGGTGCGGGTGGGGAGGGGGTGCGGGCGGGGCTGACGATGTCTCCTCTCACAGGACGAGAACATTATGAAATCGATGCAGCTGTTTGAGAACGTCATCTAATGGCTCGTTAGCGAAAACCAATCAGAGTGGCCCTCACCAGCCCCCCCCACCCCCCACCCCAGCCCCGCCCCAACAATACCTAGCCCCGCCCTTCACCAGCCCCACCCCAACCTGGTCCCTCCCCCAACAATACCTAGCCCTGCCCCTCACCAGCTCCGCCCCTCACCAGCCCCGCCCCTCACCAGCCCATCCCCTCCTCTCACCAGCCCCTCCCCTCACCAGCCCCTCCCCTCGCCAGCCCCGCCCCCTCGCCAGCCCCCCCCCCGCCTCGCCAGCCCCGCCCCTCACCGCCCTGCGTGGCTGCAATGTTGAGGAGACCGTCTTTCAATTGCGACTGTTATATATTTGGGGGCACTTTCAGTTTTGGGGGGTGCGTGTGGTGGTGTTGGTGGGGGGGCAACTTGCATTGGGGGCCTGTGATGATGGTGGGGTTGGGTCAGGGGTGTTCAGTGAGACATCCTCTCAACGTGGGGGAGGGAGGGAGGGGGGGGATGAGGAGGTGAGAGTATCTCTCGGCTCCTGGTAGTTTTGGAGAATTCCAGGAGCACGGGAATGGTTCGGGATCTCTGAATGATTCTGTAGCGCACTGGGCTGGTGGGGGGAGTCGGGTTGGGTGCGGGTTGGCCTGAGAGGGACAGGGCTGGGCTGGTTGGGGGGGGTCTGGGCTGGGTGCGGGTTGGCCTGAGAGGGACAGGGCTGGGTGGGGGGAGTCGGGCTGGGTGCGGGTTGGCCTGAGAGGGACAGGGCTGGGCTGGGTGGGGGGGTCTGGGCTGGGTGTGGGTTGGCCTGAGAGGGACAGAGCTGGGTGGGGGGAGTCGGGCTGGGTGCGGGTTGGCCTGAGAGAGACAGGGCTGGGCTGGGTGGGGGGGGTCTTTGCTGGGTGCAGGTTGGCCTGAGAGGGACAGGGCTGGGTGGGGGGGGTGCTGGGCTGGGTGGGACAGGGCTGGGGGGGGGGGTCTTTGCTGGGTGCAGGCTGGCCTGAGGGGTGGGAGCTGGGCTGGGGGGGTGCTGGGCTGGGTGGGGGCTGGCCTGAGAGGGACAGAGCTGGGTGGGGGGGCGGCTGGGCTGGGTGGGGGCTGGCCTGAGAGGGACAGAGCTGGGTGGGGGGGGGGCTGGGCTGGGTGGGGGCTGGCCTGAGGGGCGGGAGCTGGGCTGGGGGGGTGCTGGGCTGGGTGCGGGTTGGCCTGAGAGGGACAGAGCTGGGTGGGGGGGGGCTGGGCTGGGTGGGGGCTGGCCTGAGGGGCGGGAGCTGGGCTGGGCTGGGTGGGGGCTGGCCTGAGAGGGACAGGGCTGGGTGGGGGGGGGGGGCGGGGTGGGGCTGGCCTGAGGGGCGGGAGCTGGGCTGGGGGGTGCTGGGCTGGGTGGGGGCTGGCCTGAGAGGGACAGGGCTGGGTGGGGGGGGGCGGGGTGGGGCTGGGCTGGGTGGGGGCTGGCCTGAGGGGCGGGAGCTGGGCTGGGGAGGGGGGTGCACAGTGACTGAGGCCGGTGGCCTGACACACGTTACTGTTGGAGCCTCTCCTGTACCATCTCCCTCACGTGCTGCCAAACAAGAGTGAGCGAGAGGTGAAACACTCCCATTGCCACAAAGCCATTACCTGTTTGTACAGTTTCATTGTATTTGGGCGCATTTAGGGGATTGGATTTTCGATGGGGGGGGAAGGTCTGGGAAGGTTGTGGGAGGAGCCGGGAGGGCTGCTCTGATTGCTTCCCTAACGAGTCAGTACCCCAACACACACTCTGGGGTCCCCAAGCCTCGGCTTTTGCTAACCTGCGCCTAATGCTGTCCGGAATCAGGTAATCAGGATCCGTCTCCCTGGGGAGAGAGAGAATGTGCATCCCATTCCCACAGTCCAACTCTGGGATTTCCATGGGATTCTCTCTGGAATGCATTGATTTCTCGGTTTGGTTTGGAGACTGTTAAGCACATGATGGGGTTTATGTGTGTCGGAAACCTGGCTGACCAAAAATAAATTTCCCTCTTTTCCCTCCCACATAAGCTTCCTGGGCACGGAGTGATTTTGGGGGCAAAGGTAAACTTTTATTGTTTGTAATAAGGTAACGGGAGCCGAGGAGTCATTGCTTTACCCGGAGAGTTGTTAAGGTCACTGCCTGAAAAGCTGGTGGAAGCTGATTCAATAATAGCCTTCAAAAGGGAATTGGATGGAGACTCAAAAAGGAACAATGTCAGGGCTATGGGGTAAGAGCGGGGGAGTGGGGTTAGTTGATAGTTCTTTCAATTAGTTGATGGCACAGGTCCGATGGGCCGAATGGCCTCCTTCCGTGCTGTAAGATTCTATGAGAGAGCAGGGGGTTAGAGGAGAGAGCTGTGGGGGAAGAGACAGCGGGAGATAAGTCAGAGAGACATACAGACAGAGAGATAGAGACACAAAGAAATTAGAGAGTTACAGAGAGAGAGAGAGCGATGGAAAGACCCCAAAACTCCCCTGTTCCCCCAGCCCCGCTGCCCCCAGCCCCGCTGCCCCTGCCCGCTGCCCCTGCCCGCTGCCCCCAGCCCCGCTGCCCCCAGCCCCGCTGCCCCCTGCCCCGCTGCCCCAGCCCCGCTGCCCCGCTGCCCCAGCCCCTGCCCCCAGCCCCGCTGCCCCCCTGCCCCGCTGCCCCCTGCCCCGCTGCCCCAGCCCCGCTGCCCCCAGCCCCCTGCCCCGCTGCCCCCAGCCCCGCTGCCCCCCTGCCCCGCTGCCCCCAGGCCCCTGCCCCGCTGCCCCCAGTCCCGCTGCCCCCAGCCCCCTGCCCCCAGCCCCGCTGCCCCCTGCCCCGCTGCCCCCAGCCCCGCTGCCCCAGTCCCGCTGCCCCCAGCCCCGCTGCCCCCAGCCCCGCTGCCCCCAGCCCCGCTGCCCCCAGCCCCCTGCCCGCTGCCCCCAGCCCCCTGCCCCCAGCCCCCTGCCCCGCTGCCCCCAGCCCCCTGCCCCGCTGCCCCCAGCCCCCCTGCCCCCAGCCCCCTGCCCCGCTGCCCCCAGCCCCCCTGCCCCCAGCCCCCCTGCCCCGCTGCCCCCAGCCCCCCTGCCCCCAGCCCCCCTGCCCCGCTGCCCCCTGCCCCGCTGCCCCCTGCATGTCGTTTGTTAACATTTATCCAGAATCTTCCAGCGCGATGTCCCCAATCCTCTTTGTGGAGGTTTCTGGGTCACAGGGACACGTGCATACTCACACTCACTCACTCACTCACTCACTCACTCACTCCACTCACTCTCGCTCGCTCGCTCGCTCACTCACACTCACTCACTCACTCACACTCGCTCACTCACACTCGCTCACTCGCTCACTCACTCACACTCGCTCACTCACTCACTCATTCACACTCACTCGCTCACTCACTCACACTCGCTCACACCCACCCACACACATGCACACGTACTCGGGTTCGTGCTCATGTTCACAATCATTCACACTCGTGCACAGGTTAACGAGGTCACATGCATGTGTGTACTCGCTTGTCTCCCCGTCACAATAGCGAGGGCGGGTCACCGTGTGGTCATTGGGGGGGAGGGGTCTTGGTGCCAGAGGGAGGAGTCTCAGTGCTAGGGGCGGAGTCTTGGTGCCAGGGGCGGAGTCTCAGTGCCAGGGGCGGAGTCTCGGTGCCAGGGGCGGAGTCTCGGTGCCAGGCGCGGAGTCTCGGTGCCAGGGGCGGAGTCTCAGTGCCAGGGGCGGAGTCTCAGTGCCGGGGGCGGAGTCTCAGTGCCAGGGGCGGAGTCTCAGTCCCGGGGGCGGAGTCTCGGTGCCAGGGGTGGAGTCTCAGTGCCAGGGGCGGAGTCTCAGTGCCAGGGGCGGAGTCTCAGTGCCAGGGGCGGAGTCCCAGTGCCGGGGGCGGAGTCTCAGTGCCAGGGGCGGAGTCTCAGTGCCAGGGGCGGAGTCTCAGTGCCAGGGGCGGAGTCTCAGTGCTGGGGGCGGAGTCTCCGTGCCTGGGGCGGAGTCTCGGTGCCGGGGGTGGAGTCTTGGTGCCAGGGGCGGAGTCTCGGTGCTGGGGGTGGAGTCTCGGTGCCAGGGGCGGAGTCTCAGTGCCAGGGGCGGAGTCTCAGTGCCAGGGGCGGAGTCTCAGTGCTGGGGGCGGAGTCTCAGTGCCAGGGCGGAGTCTCAGTGCCAGGGGCGGAGTCTCAGTGCTGGGGGCGGAGTCTCAGTGCCAGGGGCGGAGTCTCGGTGCTGGGGGTGGAGTCTCGGTGCCAGGGGCTGAGTCTCGGTGCCAGGGGCTGAGTCTCAGTGCCAGGGGCGGAGTCTCAGTGCCAGGGGCGGAGTCTCAGTGCTGGGGGTGGAGTCTCGGTGCCAGGGGCGGAGTCTCAGTGCCAGGGGCGGAGTCTCAGTGCCAGGGGCGGAGTCTCAGTGCCAGGGGCGGAGTCTCAGTGCTGGGGGCGGAGTCTCAGTGCCAGGGGCGGAGTCTCGGTGCTGGGGGCTGAGTCTCAGTGCCAGGGGCGGAGTCTCAGTGCCAGGGGCGGAGTCTCGGTGCGGGGGGTGGAGTCTCGGTGCCAGGGGCGGAGTCTCAGTGCCAGGGGCGGAGTCTCAGTGCCAGGGGCGGAGTCCCAGTGCCGGGGGCGGAGTCTCGGTGCCAGGGGCGGAGTCTCAGTGCCAGGGGCGGAGTCTCAGTGCCGGGGGCGGAGTCTCGGGACCATGCTTTGCATTCTATTCTAAATATGTATATTTTGTATGAATAAAATTCACAATTGCTATGCAACACAACCATCGTATTGTTTCTTGTATGCGAGTGTGTCTCTGTGTGTGTCTCTGTGTGTGTCTCTGTGTGTGTCACTGTGTCTCACTGTGTATGTGTCACCGTGTGTGTGTGTGTGTGTATGTGGAGACTGGGAGTGTGAGGTGACGGAGCGCTTGTCACACACACATATACACACACACATATACACACATGTGACTGAGGTAAACAGTGAAACCGAACTCTGTCCCCGGCAGTTCAACATCACCCAAATCACACAGGTGGCCTCCAGGGGATTGCTGTCTAGTGTAGTGACTGTGTGTTTATCAGCAGACAAGGTCCCACAAACAGCCACAAAGGTGC